TTTTTTACATTTGGTTAGGGCCTAACCGAAATGTGTAGATTGGCTTCCTTACAATTCACTCCAGAAATAAAGTCAAACCATCCAACTCCTAAAATTTACACTGTCATTCAATAGTTGACAGAAATATCTTGGTTTTCTTTGGAATCTCTGCTGAGCATCAAGTGTCCATGTATAGTCCATTTAGCAGAAATACATAGAGAACAACAAGCGTGCTCAGGAGCCCTATCTCACTCTCCCCCCTAACACAGGTTTGCACAGTGCAGCCAGAAACTGGTTGCAGGCAGCAGAGAAAAGCTAAAGAGGAGATAAGACCTCATTTTTGGAAACTCCTGAATCTCTTCTTCATGCTCATATAACAACACTTGATTTGGAGGGAAATACTGGCAAAGGGCACAATTCAAAGTACTCGCTGTAATGCTCTTGGAATTCTTTTGCCTTGCCATGTACGAAAAGTTCAAGGTGTTACTGTCTGGAGGATTCTCTGCTGCTGCCTTCTGTGAAGCTCTCTGGCCTTTAAATAGGTTTGACTGAGCCCAGATTAAACAAAGGAAATTAATTAAGGACACTCCCTGTATTGTGATGCTACATTACTGTTTATACAGAACTTAAACAGAGAGCCTCCACCAGTCATAAGAATGTTTTCCTCTGAAAACCAAAACACCAGAAATTTCATCAAATTGAATAATACAACTTACTTTTGTCATCATCATAAGATCCTCCGGAGCTATTACTGTACCTTGATTCTAGTCGGGTATGTGCTCTGATTACATTACTGAACCTTCAAATACAAGAAAAATCTTCATTAAAAATGCAAACTGACATAAAACATCTGGACTATATGCTTACTCTACTAAAAAAGCATTTCCTTAGGCATGCACTTTTATATGGGAGTAGACAGCAATGTGAATGTAATGCTGTTTCTTTCCACAAAAGCAGATTTTTGCAGCTAGTTTCTGAGAAGTTCTAACAGTGTGCTTCTGTGTCACAAGCTTTTAAAATTTAGCAGAGGGAAAATTCTCATGCTGCAAATGTGTGATTTTCTTGAAGCAAGAAACTGTGCTAAGGCTGAACTGAGATATAAACTGTTCACAGCTAGTATTTTGTCACAGCCCATGTTCATGGGTAAAATCCTGGCAACCTGCTAAAGCAGTAACTGACTGAATAGTACAAAGTCAAGCCCGCACAGGTATCAAGAAGCAAAAGCTGCAGCAGATCACCCTTCAATAGGAAAATCCAGCAACTGCCAGAGCAGATCTAGCAGAGGAGTTAAGGGATGTGAGACCCAGAACAAACTGTTCACAGCTGTCCTCAAACCTGCCACAGATCCACCATTAGCTAACTTTTACTGGTAATCTCCTTTGGCTTCCTCCACCTCCTTGTGCTGTCAGTGTAATCAGGCCTGAAGTGGAGTGAGAGGAGCCATACTGGAGGCTCACACTCTAGTGATGATGTAAAAACATCATCATTTCTGCAAAGCTAGGAAATTAATTACAAATAACCGTGTTAAAACAACTACATCAAACACAACAAGATTGAAGGTTCTCTATGCAACACTCAATTCAATTTCTTACTAATGTGCATACATATTATTGCAGGGTATTTAATTATACATTGACATACTATGCTGTTTCTGAAGCACATCTGACTCATAAGGACACAATAAATTCATTGTGGAGGTGACAAAAAGGTATCATAAGCCATCTTAATTCTGCCATTTTCTGTCTTTCCAGTATCTGATTCTCCTGTATTTTAATAAATTCCCTTAATAAATGTGTACAAACTGACAATTACTGACATATTTATCTGGCATAAAAAAAGATAAAAGAAGAATAGTTAAGGAAAAAATTATGAAGAAATATGCAGAAAAGAATTCTATCCTGTATGAAACAAATTGAGAATACAGGTCATCGAAATTATTTGAGAGCAGGGCATTTTACATCATATTGCATCAACAGAAAAACATAGATATCTTCTGATTAGCTTTGTATTATTAAAGAAAATGTCCACATTTATAAGAATAGTTTGTTTACAATCTATTAGCTTCTGTAAACATTATTTAATATATCTTGACACATGAAGTCAATATTAATGGACATTCTAAATTTGACACATTGGTTTTGAAGTGCAGAAGCACTTACAGCTTCTAGTGTCTTTGATAATGTAAATGTCAGCAATGAATTCAGGCAAATTATTTTACATTTTTTTCTGAAGAGTCTTTCAGCAGGAATCAGAATAAAAGTATCAGAACTTTGTAATCTTCCTTTCATTTTTATCATACAGTCTCTGGCAGATTTGAATGCCAAAAAACTTTTTGGAGTCACATTTAAAATTTATGCAAGAAAGACAAGAAATCCTGAAAACACAGTTAGATTTAAAGTATAGTAGGAGATGAAGTTTGCTCAACTTATCTGCAAATCAACTAAACAAAAATCTAACTTAAAACTATATCGCCATAAACATTTATGTAAAGAATAATAAAAAAAATCCAGAGGAAAAATGGTTTTATCTTCCTTTTAAGTACATTTCTAGTGCATATGCTGAAAACCATTATTTTGAGTCAAATCCTCTTTACTCTCAGTTTGAAACCTTACGTGGTACTAAGGCGAGTGCCATTTTTTACTTACATTTAAATTAGCAGACAGACATAACTAACCTGACAAATGCTACTCATGTTTATAACATGTAGAAGGCAAGCAATTCAAAAGGTTCTGAAGTACAGAAAAGTTTGCTCACATAATTTGCTCTGTACCTCTAAGCCCTGAACCTATGGAAGGTGGGTTGGACTACTGAAGTGATACTAGTGACTATCATCAGGAACAACAGACTAACGTAATACTAATACACTTACAAATTAATGAACTCATTCAAAGTTCTCTTACAAAATAAGAGGGTTTCAGTGAGAGAAGAAATATATATCTGCCTGTGCTGGAGGATCTGATGGCCCTTAAGTTTTGCATTTATTCATTCATCATTTGTCAGCATGCACCATAAGTAGCAAAAGGCTAAACTGAATATATGATTTCTAAGCAAAATATTTCACATAGCTTTCCTCTGTAAGACATTTTATCCAGACAAAGGAGGTGTCCTTGCAATCATGGATACAAATCTGCATACTAAATTTTACTCACTGTCCATGAAATCAAAAGGTGTGATCAAACCTGATTCTTCATAAAGATTTTAGTAGTCATTATTTGGTACACACTCTTGATTTTCTTTCTCCTTTGTGGATAATTCCTACAAAACCATGATCTACTTAGCACCATTCATTCAATGTAGGTTTAACAGATGTTCCTCTGCAATGTATTATTAAACAACAGTCAGGAACTAGAATCCTGTGAACAGCTTTTTTTAAAAAACTTTTACATACTCTCATTTTAAAATGGTCTTACTGGGATAACGCCACTTAGGATCAGTCTGAGCATCAGAGTTCCTTGCAAAACAATGCAGAACTTTGCCCAACATCTCACCCTTAGCCTAGGAAAACATATACATTTTGGAGAAAAAAAAAACAAACCACAAACCTTTCATCAGTCTCTTTCACCATTCTGTTCTCCTCTACGTCAGGAAAACTATCTTGGCCAGCTACAACAGTGTTACTGCTAGAGGTGGTTCCTGTATAGGAGATGTCAGTAAGAACACCTGTTACATGCAACAGACAGTATTTGCAAAGCAATAAAAGCCCATAACTTAAATTTTTTTAGCAGCCACATGTCAGTGATCATCCTGCAAGTACTTGCGCATATGAATGAACACTGTTACCTCTACAAACCAGGACCTGCTTGCATGGCTGAATGATGTAAAGTTTACATGCTTTGAGGGGTAGATTAACATAATGATGCTCTTCCACTCCTTAAACTAAGCTTATTCTCAGGTGACATAACCTATTGTTTTTCAAGAATTTGGCAAAACATTGACAAGGTTAAATCTGGGGTTGGTGTCTCTTAAGTATCTTTGAGTACTGCAGCTTGGAAATAGCATTAGGCCTTTGAAAACAGAATTGCCACACAGTCGAGGCTCTCAGTTTTCAGGAAACTGCTGCTTTGGTGTATCTGCTGTGATCACAGCATTGATGATGACTTCTTGTTCTGAGAAACTAGTGGTAGAAGAACCACCTCATATGAGTTCTGAACAGCACCAAACATTGGTAATATCCTATTAAAATAGTTGAGAGAATTAAGCATATGTTTACAAAGCATATACAACATTAGGAATCAAAAAGAACTGTAATTTAGATGTGCAACAAAGCCCTGAAACTTGCACTTTATATATACACAGATCTGAATGGGTGCAAAAGTAAGAAATTGTTTTTTCAAAGAGATAAAGACTCAAAAGAGCAGGACACCATAACTGAAAAGTATACTTAGATCATACCAGAAGCTGCAGCTGAGGCTTTGTTACTGGCAGCAAAACGGTAAAATGGAGGATTATCGCAATGCTGGACTATTGGGTTCACGGGGTCAGTTTGCTGCAGCTCAAAAAGAAGCTCTTCCATTGTCTGAATAGTGTTATTGCGACATAGATATATTGCAACCTTTTTTATCTAGAGAAGAAAATAACAGTTATTAAACTCTGTCCAAAGTGAATTTCCAAAGAAATCAATACATATTACACTGCAGTAGTGAAAAGATCCAGAATACAAATGTTACTCCTAGACAGACACCACAACCACACAACTGCATCCGTCTTGTTCATACAGAAATAAAACTGCTCACTTTGATATCAAGATCATTTCCGCAGCAGAGTGACTCTGTGATCTAATTACCCCAAAGTTTTTGCTTACCATCCACAAATGAACTGTTTAGGTATATAACTATATAACATACACATATACAAAACCCACCTAATTTCGTACCTATCATTTAAGGATATCAGCATTAACTCTGAATCACACTCAAGGATTTATAGTTTGAGTATGTGATTTCCACTGAAGATGAATCTTACTCTCTTGAATGGAGCAAACTTCTCATCTAGAAAACTAGATCCACCCAAAACTTCATGCCTGTATTTCCAGATATGGTTGATGTGAAAGAGGTAGCTGTAGCCACAAAGAATAAGCCAGGCTCTGAGTAGCTACTTATATCTGTAACCAAAGTAATAGCACATGGAAGAAAGGCAGAGCAATTATGTATACAGACTTCATGCATCCCGATTTGAAAAATCTGAGAGTATAATTTGTAGAAATTCTGGGAAGTTCTATAAATCTTTTAACAAGACTTCAAACCTTACTGCATGCACCACAGCAATGAGGACTGTTGAGATACCGAGATCAAATTAGACTGAATTCTTGAGGAAAAAAACCCTGATGGCTTCTAAAAGCAGAGACTCTCTCTAGCTCAAAAACATTTGATTCATAAACTGCTGGAGCTGGGAGACCATATGGGGAAGCATCCCTCTGTGCTTGCCTTCTTGTTTTTAAAGAAGTCCCTAAACAGATGCTTATAGTGGAGCTAATAAACTGGACTGAACTGCCTGTTGGCCTCACCAAGTATTGCTGTTCTTACACTCTTAATTACTTCTATTAAAATAACTTTCTGACTGCTTCTCTTTCTGTCTTTCTCTCCTTTTCTTTTGCTTAAAGTAGAGAAAATGCACATATTCAAAGTCTCTTTTATTCTACTGTGCTAAAAATTTCCCAGGGACTTTCCAGATACAAATCCACCTCCTTTCCAAGGCTCATTTCTAGTTGGACTCACAGTGTCCAGCTTCTTTCACCCCAGAAAGGGTCAGGTTCCCTACACTAAGTCTTTGCTGAAGAGGTTTCTGAACTGTAAATATTCTAAGAAATCTTTTAGTACATATGTGAAAGAAAGGACAGCTCAGCAATTTGCACTGGGGCACTGGGAGAAAATGCTTAAAGGAAACATAAGAGACAAAGCAATGAATTTAGCTGATTTAAAAAAAAATTAAAAAAAAATGTAAGTCAGGCATGCTTTTGGCTTGGACCCACACGGGCAGAACAGATGGCTGAAGGCTTGAAGCAGCTGGTGACTGCCTTGGGGCACAGAGGGCTCCAAAAGGAGATGGGCAAACTGGCAATCTTGCAACTGCGTGGTCTTTTGAGCCCAGCTGAGCTGGAACAGTGCTGATAAACTGTTCAAATTATCTTTATTTGCTAATGTGTATGTGTTATCTACATGATAATAGAAGATACATGTTTATGGTATCAGCTGTCTTGTGTAGTTAGCAGAGTTAGGTATGATTTCTGATCTGTAAACTCCAGGGCATTATCAAAACACTGAGCAGACGCGTATGATAAGCCCGGTGTATCTTCTTCCTACTCCAGACAAAGCTATCAGTTAGGGAGTGACTCATAAGCACAGTAAGGCTTCCTACAGAAGCTGAAAACTTTTCAGATTTTGCAAAATCTGAGAATCAGACAACATTACAAAACGCAGACTAACAGGGTGGCAGAAAACTAACAGGGTGGCAGAAAACACAGGAACCTTGTCAGCTGCCGTCACCAATGAAGACGTGATTGTCTTGTTAACAGCCACTGGAAGCCTGGGAGGGAGCGCAGAAAAGTCCCACAGGCAAAATAGGAGATGCTGAGCAGATGAAGCTGGAGATGGTAAAACAGACTGCTCTTTTTGTGGAGTAAGAGGACTGCACTGTCCTGGAGGACAGGACTGTGAGAGCCAAGGCTTCGAGGCAAGGGGGTTTGGAAAGAATTTGAAGAAAGAAGAAGTGCTATGGGTAGGAAGGGGGTTTGAGGTAGACTGCTCAGAGCTGTAGGATGGCAACAGTTTCGGAAAAAGGATGTGTTGAAAGCTCTGGGTTGGCAAATATCTGGATGGGGGGATGAGGTATGTGAGGGGCTCCTGGGCAAAAGGCGACAGGGTTATCAGGCATTTCCAATCAGGCTACAGATTTAGGAGTGAGACATATACTCAGCACAGGACTACTCCTTCCTCTTAGAAAACTGCCCCTATTCCTTTTGTAAGCTGTCAGAAATACAACAGCCCTCATTTTGTCTCTTATCTCTGTGATTTCCACTTGTTCTCTGCCAACATAGCTCCTCCTGATAAAGGCCACCTTTGGGTCTGATCCCAAGTCTGTCATAGATTGTAGGATCAGTCAGGTTGGAAAGAACCTGGGAGGTCTCTCATCTAACCTTCTGCTCAAAGCATGGTCAACACTGAATGGAGAGCCTCTGTCACTCTGTCACAATGGATGGAAAGATCTTCATTACCCTCAAGATATTTGAGATCAACCCCTTTGTCTTCTTCTCATATCAACCTTGAGCTTGTTCTTACAGTAACACCACTTTCAAATCTTTCCTCTTTTGATTAGCTAGGCAACACTGACTTTGCATATGTATGCACTGATTTGAGAATATAGAACGGTAAACCCTACAAACAAAAGGAAAGCAACAGGATGTCTATGGTACAATAACATCTTGAAAATTTTTACAGCCTGCTATATTTCCTTTATTCTATTATGCATAGCAGTCATCATAAATACTTTAAGCAAAGTATTATTTCAGCAACTGTAAATGAAGTATGTTTATGAGGCTTTTTAGATAAGTTTAATCACATTAATAGTAATTTCAAATTTATTTCAGGGAAATCAATAGAAAGAGACTAACTAATAAAACAGCATATTGTAATTGTGCTGGAAAATTTACTAAATTTAGATTCCATTTCACCCAGCAACTGGGCAATAAGGAACACGGGAGTGGGACTACCTTGCTTTTCTCAGACAGCCCTGATTTTATTTTAATGTGAATAATAACAATATCCTGCACAGTTTGACTTGCACATTGCAGGAACAGTTATATAATTCATGACAGCCATGCAAAGGCAAAAGTTGATATGGTAAGGAGCTTATAAAGGTTAGCTATCCTGTGTCTCTTGAGATGTCCCACAGAAAGCCTTAGTCTGCTAAAGGAGAAGAGAATGTAGCACTTTCTTAAAGCTACGTGCTTTTCTGAAGGAACACCTAAATCTTTACAGCAAACAAACTAATAAGATCATAGCATGTTACGTCCCATTCATGATATAACATCCATTATTTAAAGGACTTTCAAAGTTTAACTAATAGCTTTGTAAACTAATTGATTACTGAGAAAAATCATAAGTATTTAGTATTTTTACTTATCTTAATTTTTCATGCAAGTTATTTAAACTCTGAACAGCCATTCTGTCTTTTTAATAAAATTTTAAATATATACATAAATTGCATATTTTTATGCAATTCTGTCATGAAAAAATATTTTCTAATATTTCTAATATTTTTTCTCATTCATTCTGGCAATTTATGGCCAGTCCTTGTTACTGGCCCCTTACACAGACATGCAAAGTTGCTCTTTGCTTGAGAGGAGCCCACCTCCTGCTTGAAATGAGGTGTGCTCCACTGGTGGAGACTGAGATTCCCACTATTCAATTCCTTTCTTGAATTTCAGTTTCTTGGCTCATTTATTCCCGCGATTTAATTTTGTTCAGTGTGCTAGGGAATATGTCAGTACTTCTTATTTTTGAAACAGAAATTCATTTTCTGCAGGTGATAGCTGTTTTCTTCATTTAAACCTGTGCAACCAATAGTAAATAAAATAAAGTGCGAACACTTACATAAGGTAAAAGGATGGTATCACTGCTAACACCACACAAACTAATGAGAAACTGCAGTGTTATCCTAAGGTTGTTACTCCATTTTTCATTGTTGGCCAAAGCATTCCAGACATTTTCCATCTCTGGTCCAGGAATTTCATCTCCATACTGCAAAGGATCATATGCATACATTTCTTGAAATATGCAGACCTCCAAAATAAGGCATGCTCTTTTAGAGCATTTTCTCATGCAAAACCAACAGTAAAATGCTGTCAGAAGTGACAAAACAGTATTTTCAAAAGCTACCTGACAGACTTCAGAGCATAAATTCTGTTTAAAAGTATTTAGGTTCAGATCCACAGAAGGACTTAAATCACACACAAAAAAAGTCTTTCAGGAATGTAAATTCAAAAGGTGATCCTAAAATAAAGCAGTTTATTGGGTTTCATCTTTACAGTTGTTCAAGCAACTGAAGTTCTGTTTCTGCATGTCTGTACCTAAGTGCTTCAGCCTTCACAGTAGTGAACAGTTCGGCACCTCTCTCCTGAGTAAATCCTAGCAGAATTAAGCATTAGACAGCCCTTTGCTTTCACACTGGAAACGAGCAGCTTTTGTTCTCTTTTGCAAGACACAGTTATAGGAATGACTCCCTTTTGTCCAGCCATTTAAATGGTTAGTGCGTGCATCCAGGATGTGGGAGTCTAGAATTGAAGCTGTTCTGTTTCCTGTGTAAAATCTTTGGCTCCCACTTTGAGAAGATTGTTTTAACCACCGCACAGACTGACATTCTGCTAGAAGAGGAGTGGCAATCTCCAGGTCATGCTATTCTACTGAAAATGATTTAATACATATTAGCTACCTCTACACTGTCACTGGCATCCACATCTACTGTCATCTATACTGGCACCTGCAGGTGCCAGTCCCTTTATCACACATACAGCCTCAAAGCTAGATCAATCAATTGAATGAGCCAGTATCATGCCTTGGATATGCAACAAGTATCAAAAAAACATTCTGGTGGGCTGAAGCACAGCCCCCACATTACTTCAGACATGCTCATGTGACAAAATGCACACAAAATAATAATTATGTTTTACTTACAAGGCCTCAACAATGAGGCAAGATCCAGAACCAACTGCTATGTAGCATGGATACAGACATTCTGCTGAGCAGGATAGGAAATGTGACCCACTCTGTCCCATATGACATAGGTACCAAGCATTACTTCCTGAGGTTTATGTATTTAGCAGTTTAGACATATGTACTGAATCTGGCAAAAGCAGTGCCAGAGCAGGCACGGCACACTAGTATAGCAGCCTGCAACTCAGCAAAGAGAAGGAAAAGACGGATTCCCAGTACCTTCTCCACCAGCTGCTTAGGCATTTTACATGAAAAAGTAACTGGAAAAAAGGAATCCTTGGTCCTTTATCAGGACCTGGGATGTAAAATACCTTCCCTTTTACAAAAGAATGCTTTATCTAGCACCTTAGAAATTTATACTAATTTTTTCCTTTTCTCTCTCTCAAAGAATATTTAAGTGTTTCCTAGAAAGTACAAGAGCTTCAGTAGGACAAATTCCAGGTGCTCATTCTCACCCCAAATAAACTTTTATCTGCTGCCTTAGACATAAACACAGGAGGCGATACAGGAGGGAACTGAACTTAGTTCCTCTATAACTAATCCTTAATGCTCTCTTTTAAGTTTTTTTTTAAAAAGGGTAAAACACTTTTCTTTGTTCATGTTTTGAAAGAGAACAGTTTTAGCATTGTCCTTAAAAGAAAAAGTGAAGGAACTTCTTCAAATGAAGGTTGTGTCTGATTAGTACAGACTGTTCCAGTGCAAAATTTCTGGTATCAGAGGGAAGAAACCTAAGAAGTACCTTTTGCTTAAGAAAGATAAGTTTGAATATTTCAGAAATTGTTTTACAGTTTGGTTTTTTGTTTGTTTTACTTTTTTACCTTGGCTGTCATATACATGAGATTATTAAGAACCAGTGAGGTGGCCTCAGGAGAGCCCCAGCCATTGCCTTTTAGTCCACTTGTGACTGTTATTTCCCCATCCTTGTCCTTCAGTTCATCTTCTGGAGTGGTAGGACTTGAACCAGGGAGGAGCAGTCTGTTGTCTACAAGTTCAATATTATGAAGCCATGGTAGCAGATAGGTAAGCATGATCTGTCTTCCATTTGGATGTGTTGTTGGAAATCTCTGGCTTACCTCTAAAATAGTAAAAGTTGAAAAGGACAACATGTTAGTTTATGAAGGAAACCTTAACTACACAGTTTAAATCATATTTCTGACGCGTTTTAGACCACCTGATGGTTTTTACCTTGCAAACCACAAGCATACAAAAGCATGTACTTGAGCTTCCTGAAGAGAAACATTAATTTAATGGTCAATAATAGCAAGCAATTGGTCAGGTCTTCTGTCTAAAATAACTAACATAGTCTGGGCTTAGAAACAGCAAGTCACCCCTTGTTACTGTGCCACATTATGTATTAAGTGAAACAGATGTCGATGAAGATGAAAAAGGATAATTCAGTTACTGGCTGTTATTCTAGAATTTCAAGAGCTTTTGGAGAATTACAATAAACATACAAAAGAATTACAAGTGCCCCATCAGCCTCCACGTTTCTAAGCTATAGTTTAAAACTTAAGGCACTTATTATACTGAGTTTACAAAAACACCTTGCATATGTTAGGAGTCTTATTTCCTGTAGGGAGGCCTATAAAATTCATAGTCGGCTGCCAGTCCAGGAGTGTTGTATACAGCACTTTATATAGTTTACAAAAAAAGAACTGGCACTGTAAGGGAAATGGATTTGGAAAATTGGGGACAAGAAATACAGTGAGAGGCTTCCCGCCAAGGTGAATGACATTAGCTCTCTTTACCAGAATTATTCTGTAAAATCAGTACAGTTAACATTTCCTTTCTTTCCTCACTGCCTGGTTTTAAAAAATCTTCAAGATATACGCTGTTCTCTCTCCTTATGATTCTAGATGTATAGAAAGGGCCTCTGATTTGGACTGTGTATCTGAGTTCTTTTAAACAACAAAGCCACTACAGCAACATGAATAGATGGTAACAGTAATAATGAAGAACATTCGCTTTTTTTAAGATAAATGAGCCATCAGAATTTCCCTACACCAGTTATTTATAACTCATGGTATCTTGGGCACTAAGAAATGCATGATATATTGTTCCTTTACCCTTCCTCCAGCCCCTACAGACTGAGTAAAAACAACAGAAAGGGTTTTTAAGAGCCAGTAAGAATTCCCACGATTACAGACATTGCATTCTGTTATTTAAAAACTAGAGCAACACATTAGATGGATTAAGCCAGACAGATAGGTCTCAAAACGTTTAATTGTTCCCAGGAATAGTCTCACAGTGGGCATATTCTGAATGGTGCTCCTGCAGGTCTGATTCTTTAACATTTTTCTCAGTAGCCCTGACAAAATGTATTTCTGATAAAATTAAAATGATACTAATGACTTGCGGATGTGGCAAATAACAGAAGGTAGAGATCAGTCATTCAGAGTGATTTGAATCATTGTTAAAACTGGACACATGCAATCAATCTTCCCAAAGTTGAAGTCATGCTTATATAAAATGAAGAATTCTATCCTCACAGGTATCATCTATATAAATGTATGTATAAGAAGAATCACTATGCTTAACACGAGAACCCATTATAGTAGAGTTTGCCAATGTCACTTTAACTTATCCAGTGCCCTTGTAATTTCAAAGTTACCCAAGCGGCACAGAATCCCCAACCAAGGTTTTTAAATAGCTGTTCTGTACTTTGTTTAAGTACCTCTAGGAAATATATATTGCATTCCTAAATCTGATTTGACCTGAACCAGAATAGAACCAGGTCAAGCTAAATTTATAAACAGAATTGCTGTGCACAGGTGGAAATGTCTTAGTACTCTACCATTTGTAGAAAAATGTAAAGTAGATAATAAGTCAAATAGATATAGGTACCTGAAAAAAGTGGAAGGGTAAGTTCAGGATACATCCTTGCTAGTTCATACGAAAGAAGGGCAAGTGAGACACTGTAAAGAGGTGGCAATGGACCATGTGTACCATACAAGATACTGCCCGGTCTTTGCTCAGCTACCTTTTTTGAATAAACAAAAAGCTTTGATTCAAGGATCTATGAAAGAGAAAAAAACAATACAATGAAATTTTAAATATATACATAAATTGCATATTTTTATGCAATTCTGTCATGAAAAAATATTTTCTAATATTTCTAATATTTTTTCTCATTCATTCTGGCAATTTATGGCCAGTCCTTGTTACTGGCCCCTTACACAGACATGCAAAGTTGCTCTTTGCTTGAGAGGAGCCCACCTCCAAATATATACATAAATTGCATATTTTTATGCAATTCTGTCATGAAAAAATATTTTCTAATATTTCTAATATTTTTTCTCATTCATTCTGGCAATTTATGGCCAGTCCTTGTTACTGGCCCCTTACACAGACATGCAAAGTTGCTCTTTGCTTGAGAGGAGCCCACCTCCTGCTTGAAATGAGGTGTGCTCCACTGGTGGAGACTGAGATTCCCACTATTCAATTCCTTTCTTGAATTTCAGTTTCTTGGCTCATTTATTCCCGCGATTTAATTTTGTTCAGTGTGCTAGGGAATATGTCAGTACTTCTTATTTTTGAAACAGAAATTCATTTTCTGCAGGTGATAGCTGTTTTCTTCATTTAAACCTGTGCAACCAATAGTAAATAAAATAAAGTGCGAACACTTACATAAGGTAAAAGGATGGTATCACTGCTAACACCACACAAACTAATGAGAAACTGCAGTGTTATCCTAAGGTTGTTACTCCATTTTTCATTGTTGGCCAAAGCATTCCAGACATTTTCCATCTCTGGTCCAGGAATTTCATCTCCATACTGCAAAGGATCATATGCATACATTTCTTGAAATATGCAGACCTCCAAAATAAGGCATGCTCTTTTAGAGCATTTTCTCATGCAAAACCAACAGTAAAATGCTGTCAGAAGTGACAAAACAGTATTTTCAAAAGCTACCTGACAGACTTCAGAGCATAAATTCTGTTTAAAAGTATTTAGGTTCAGATCCACAGAAGGACTTAAATCACACACAAAAAAAGTCTTTCAGGAATGTAAATTCAAAAGGTGATCCTAAAATAAAGCAGTTTATTGGGTTTCATCTTTACAGTTGTTCAAGCAACTGAAGTTCTGTTTCTGCATGTCTGTACCTAAGTGCTTCAGCCTTCACAGTAGTGAACAGTTCGGCACCTCTCTCCTGAGTAAATCCTAGCAGAATTAAGCATTAGACAGCCCTTTGCTTTCACACTGGAAACGAGCAGCTTTTGTTCTCTTTTGCAAGACACAGTTATAGGAATGACTCCCTTTTGTCCAGCCATTTAAATGGTTAGTGCGTGCATCCAGGATGTGGGAGTCTAGAATTGAAGCTGTTCTGTTTCCTGTGTAAAATCTTTGGCTCCCACTTTGAGAAGATTGTTTTAACCACCGCACAGACTGACATTCTGCTAGAAGAGGAGTGGCAATCTCCAGGTCATGCTATTCTACTGAAAATGATTTAATACATATTAGCTACCTCTACACTGTCACTGGCATCCACATCTACTGTCATCTATACTGGCACCTGCAGGTGCCAGTCCCTTTATCACACATACAGCCTCAAAGCTAGATCAATCAATTGAATGAGCCAGTATCATGCCTTGGATATGCAACAAGTATCAAAAAAACATTCTGGTGGGCTGAAGCACAGCCCCCACATTACTTCAGACATGCTCATGTGACAAAATGCACACAAAATAATAATTATGTTTTACTTACAAGGCCTCAACAATGAGGCAAGATCCAGAACCAACTGCTATGTAGCATGGATACAGACATTCTGCTGAGCAGGATAGGAAATGTGACCCACTCTGTCCCATATGACATAGGTACCAAGCATTACTTCCTGAGGTTTATGTATTTAGCAGTTTAGACATATGTACTGAATCTGGCAAAAGCAGTGCCAGAGCAGGCACGGCACACTAGTATAGCAGCCTGCAACTCAGCAAAGAGAAGGAAAAGACGGATTCCCAGTACCTTCTCCACCAGCTGCTTAGGCATTTTACATGAAAAAGTAACTGGAAAAAAGGAATCCTTGGTCCTTTATCAGGACCTGGGATGTAAAATACCTTCCCTTTTACAAAAGAATGCTTTATCTAGCACCTTAGAAATTTATACTAATTTTTTCCTTTTCTCTCTCTCAAAGAATATTTAAGTGTTTCCTAGAAAGTACAAGAGCTTCAGTAGGACAAATTCCAGGTGCTCATTCTCACCCCAAATAAACTTTTATCTGCTGCCTTAGACATAAACACAGGAGGCGATACAGGAGGGAACTGAACTTAGTTCCTCTATAACTAATCCTTAATGCTCTCTTTTAAGTTTTTTTTTAAAAAGGGTAAAACACTTTTCTTTGTTCATGTTTTGAAAGAGAACAGTTTTAGCATTGTCCTTAAAAGAAAAAGTGAAGGAACTTCTTCAAATGAAGGTTGTGTCTGATTAGTACAGACTGTTCCAGTGCAAAATTTCTGGTATCAGAGGGAAGAAACCTAAGAAGTACCTTTTGCTTAAGAAAGATAAGTTTGAATATTTCAGAAATTGTTTTACAGTTTGGTTTTTTGTTTGTTTTACTTTTTTACCTTGGCTGTCATATACATGAGATTATTAAGAACCAGTGAGGTGGCCTCAGGAGAGCCCCAGCCATTGCCTTTTAGTCCACTTGTGACTGTTATTTCCCCATCCTTGTCCTTCAGTTCATCTTCTGGAGTGGTAGGACTTGAACCAGGGAGGAGCAGTCTGTTGTCTACAAGTTCAATATTATGAAGCCATGGTAGCAGATAGGTAAGCATGATCTGTCTTCCATTTGGATGTGTTGTTGGAAATCTCTGGCTTACCTCTAAAATAGTAAAAGTTGAAAAGGACAACATGTTAGTTTATGAAGGAAACCTTAACTACACAGTTTAAATCATATTTCTGACGCGTTTTAGACCACCTGATGGTTTTTACCTTGCAAACCACAAGCATACAAAAGCATGTACTTGAGCTTCCTGAAGAGAAACATTAATTTAATGGTCAATAATAGCAAGCAATTGGTCAGGTCTTCTGTCTAAAATAACTAACATAGTCTGGGCTTAGAAACAGCAAGTCACCCCTTGTTACTGTGCCACATTATGTATTAAGTGAAACAGATGTCGATGAAGATGAAAAAGGATAATTCAGTTACTGGCTGTTATTCTAGAATTTCAAGAGCTTTTGGAGAATTACAATAAACATACAAAAGAATTACAAGTGCCCCATCAGCCTCCACGTTTCTAAGCTATAGTTTAAAACTTAAGGCACTTATTATACTGAGTTTACAAAAACACCTTGCATATGTTAGGAGTCTTATTTCCTGTAGGGAGGCCTATAAAATTCATAGTCGGCTGCCAGTCCAGGAGTGTTGTATACAGCACTTTATATAGTTTACAAAAAAAGAACTGGCACTGTAAGGGAAATGGATTTGGAAAATTGGGGACAAGAAATACAGTGAGAGGCTTCCCGCCAAGGTGAATGACATTAGCTCTCTTTACCAGAATTATTCTGTAAAATCAGTACAGTTAACATTTCCTTTCTTTCCTCACTGCCTGGTTTTAAAAAATCTTCAAGATATACGCTGTTCTCTCTCCTTATGATTCTAGATGTATAGAAAGGGCCTCTGATTTGGACTGTGTATCTGAGTTCTTTTAAACAACAAAGCCACTACAGCAACATGAATAGATGGTAACAGTAATAATGAAGAACATTCGCTTTTTTTAAGATAAATGAGCCATCAGAATTTCCCTACACCAGTTATTTATAACTCATGGTATCTTGGGCACTAAGAAATGCATGATATATTGTTCCTTTACCCTTCCTCCAGCCCCTACAGACTGAGTAAAAACAACAGAAAGGGTTTTTAAGAGCCAGTAAGAATTCCCACGATTACAGACATTGCATTCTGTTATTTAAAAACTAGAGCAACACATTAGATGGATTAAGCCAGACAGATAGGTCTCAAAACGTTTAATTGTTCCCAGGAATAGTCTCACAGTGGGCATATTCTGAATGGTGCTCCTGCAGGTCTGATTCTTTAACATTTTTCTCAGTAGCCCTGACAAAATGTATTTCTGATAAAATTAAAATGATACTAATGACTTGCGGATGTGGCAAATAACAGAAGGTAGAGATCAGTCATTCAGAGTGATTTGAATCATTGTTAAAACTGGACACATGCAATCAATCTTCCCAAAGTTGAAGTCATGCTTATATAAAATGAAGAATTCTATCCTCACAGGTATCATCTATATAAATGTATGTATAAGAAGAATCACTATGCTTAACACGAGAACCCATTATAGTAGAGTTTGCCAATGTCACTTTAACTTATCCAGTGCCCTTGTAATTTCAAAGTTACCCAAGCGGCACAGAATCCCCAACCAAGGTTTTTAAATAGCTGTTCTGTACTTTGTTTAAGTACCTCTAGGAAATATATATTGCATTCCTAAATCTGATTTGACCTGAACCAGAATAGAACCAGGTCAAGCTAAATTTATAAACAGAATTGCTGTGCACAGGTGGAAATGTCTTAGTACTCTACCATTTGTAGAAAAATGTAAAGTAGATAATAAGTCAAATAGATATAGGTACCTGAAAAAAGTGGAAGGGTAAGTTCAGGATACATCCTTGCTAGTTCATACGAAAGAAGGGCAAGTGAGACACTGTAAAGAGGTGGCAATGGACCATGTGTACCATACAAGATACTGCCCGGTCTTTGCTCAGCTACCTTTTTTGAATAAACAAAAAGCTTTGATTCAAGGATCTATGAAAGAGAAAAAAACAATACAATGAAACAATAAAAATTCATTAATTCAGGAAACACCAACGGTTTAAGTTTAGATATCAGAGAATGAACTATATGCTTTGGAGTATACTCTCCAAATTTGAAAGACATCATAACTAATATTTTCCCATTAATTTTTATATGAATATTCCCGTAAGTATTTATAGCCAAGACAAAACTAATCGTTTATTTTCAAAACAAAACTAAAAAGCAAATAAACAGT